AAATAATATAATTAAAAGAAGTGTTACTTTAATTGTTTTAACACAAGGAATGGGATCCTCTTTCCATGTCTTATACATCGGATCAAACTCTCGATACCCTCTGTGACCGTGTTTTTCAAGGAATTCTGTGAACAGTTGTGAGGCCTCGTCGGTGCCCTTCTGTAGCATTTCCAGTGCCTTCTCATCACTCAATTGTCTGAACCCTTCCTTATCTCTAATTGATTTTGTAATTTCTCGCAAACGATTGGGCACTTCAGCGCTTATCACATCATTACACGAAGAGATCATTTCATTGAAGTCTGTGTCCAGGTTTGGATTATTCGCTATAATTTATTTATATTTAATTAATAAAAGTCATGAAAAACTAATAAATAAAGTTAAATTACTAATTAACATTAACTCACATTGGACATTTTCGAGGGTAAGTCTTAAAATTGAATTTTTAATGGATAAGCCAAGAGATACCGGTGCGTGATATTTAAGTGAAGCGATTCCTATTTCATGAAATTTTCCCAAAATTTCTCTCCAAATGTCTTTTGCTGTGGAATATTGTCTCAAATGTATGGTCACATCATATCGTCTGGTATCCATAAATTGAGTCTTAATTTTAATAAAATTTTTTGGACCAAATAATAGCGAATTAACGACGAAATAAATGATTTTTAATTTCCCGACGAGTGATGAACTCTTTTGCTCCAAACGTTTTTGTTTGAATAGATTGAGTACATCCTTGTCGTGGATGTGGTGACCAAACACTGATAATATCATTTGCTGTGATTGTTTAGTTTCCGGATAGTCGCTGAACATATTAAATTCACCCTAATATTTAATTTAATTAGTTTGTTTTGTTAATCATTAAGGTGAATGTTAATATAAGGTGTACGAACATTACTCAAATTAAACATGAGTTGATTGTATTCAATACCCATTGTCTCGAAATATGGGTTAAATGAATCTTCGGTAGCCATTCCCATGTCTATGCTTTGTCGCTATGTTTGATGAAAGTGTTCAGAAATAATTCATATTAATATATAAGTAAGTAATAAGTGATATACGGAATAGTAATATTAATTATATTTGTAAGTTGTATAACATACTACAAATCCACTTTTATTGCTCCACATCCATTGCAACATAATTCAAGATGAGGCACCAGGGTACATCTCACCCCAATGGGCCCGGGAGGTGATTTCAAACTCTGACGGATGAGATGAATCCAATTCATGCATAATCTCGTAGTCGGTGTAAGAGTTGTCTAAATTAGTTACGGGTCTCGACTGAAGCATAAATATTTGGCCCCCTTTTAGACCCCACTCTATATCTCTCGCATTTCCGTAGTGTTTGTGAATCTCAAGTCCAATATCACCCAAACGTAACAAATCCCGATCACTGACACAACAATTACTTCTGTCGATAACCTCCTCCTCAACATTAGACCCCACTCTATATCTCTCGCATTTCCGTAGTGTTTGTGAATCTCAAGTCCAATATCACCCAAACGTAACAAATCCCGATCACTGACACAACAATTACTTCTGTCGATAACCTCTTCCTCAACAGTCCCTCCATTTTCCAAGAGTTTTATTAATGTCTTCTTCTGTCCGATCACTTTCGACTCAATTCCGGTGATATGTCTTCGTTTGGACAGAGAGTTGGACTCAATATTAACGGAAAGTTTGATTGAATCCGGTTCTGAAGACGCGGACACCACTGACTGTGGGATTGAAAGTCATATTAATTATAAACTAATTGCTAGTAATAGTGATAATAACGACTGACTTCTCCCAACCCATAATTGCCGGTAATCTCGAGAACCCTCTCATCACCGGTGATGGGATCACAAGTGAACAGTTGAGGGCGGCTAAGCGTCGGTTGGTAGAGAACATACTGCTGTCGGTAGCCTGATAACTATCCGACAGGCATTGGAGAGAATATGAGCTGTCGCTACACGCTCTTGACTCTGCTGGTCGTGAAGTAAACCGATGAGTAGATCTCTTCCAGACCTTTGACTCCCAAATATGTCGTCATTTGTCCCGCGGCTGACATCTCCTCCGAGTCCTCCCTTCGTGGCCTTCTAGAGTGCCGTTTCTCAAAACAGAGTTTTAGTAACTTTAATAAAAAGTCGAAAAGAAACTACAGAAAAGCATATTAAAGGCCATTAAATACTGAGCTATATGATAAGTAACAAACCTCGCATTTAGTCTTCAATTCTTTTGTCGACAATTGAGTCGATTCTTCCAACTCTTGGATCTCTTGAGACAAGTCTTTGTATTCGCGAAGAAGTCTTTGATAAGCATTTGTGGTGACAATCACACCATTCGGGACTTTGAATGGGTTTTCATAATTATCCTTGATTAATTTTTCGCTCAAACCCTTGAGTACCGCTAAAGAGCTTCCTTTACCTCCACTTAATTCAACTCTTTTTGCATTTTCTTTACTAAAACCCAAAACAAATGACAAATCATTTGCAACCGATTTGTATGTTTTGACCGATTCTTGAACTTGTGTTTCGTTTTCCTCTAATATATAACACATCCCTAAAAGAGATAAAAATACATTAATAAAAATAAATCATTGTTAAATATTTTTAAACATACCCTCCACATTATTTATTAAAAGATTTTGGGCCAATGTATTTTTTGATCTTAATATTTGAAAATTATATTCATTTTCTCCAAACGTTGCCTTAAAGCTAATGTTAGGATTACTTTTCAAATCCACAAAATTTGACTTTTTTAGTGGTGTATCGAGAAGTTTATGAAAACGACCCGTTTTTTTGAATAGGAATCCAAAACGGTATTCAAGTTTATTATTATTCTCTATAAATCCTAAATTAAAGCCAATTCCTGTATCCAAAACAAATGTAAATTTAAATAGCAATTAGTCTTTTTGTAATTCACATGCATTGAAATAACCTTTTTTAGTATATCCACAGATCCGGATTATTTTTCGATTTAATGATTCACTTAATGATGATTTCAAGTACTTTTTACTAATAGATCCCCAGAAGTATAGTTGTCTTTCCTCTTCCATCTCTTCCTTGAAGTTACCCTTCATTTGACCGAATTGTTCAAAACGGTCCTCAAACCGGTCAATGAGTTCACTATTATTGTCTGGTTTTGGAGATAATGTGAACTCTTTGGCCGTAAAATAATCGTCAAAATCATGGGTTGAGTCATAAACTCTGGACATTGCAGACCAAAGGAATCTGAATCTAACGTAAACTAATTCCTTATTATTTTTGGTGAGATATCCCCTAAACTTAATCCTCTTTCGTCTGAATGGGGAACTAATTTCCAAACCGAGTCCACAAACTCTGTACTCATTCCTGCGGTACTCGACCTCCGAGTCCTCCTCTAATGTATAGCTATTACTGTTGTTGTCATCAAATCTCAAACTAATGGTTGCATTCATTTGATTGTCGACTCCTTTTGGTCTCCATTTGATTGCAATATAAATGCTTTGTTTCGATGAATTCACGCCATATATCAACAAATCCTCGCTTTTTTCCTATTGCCATATATCATCATTTAATGTTTATTTTAAGTGTTTCTTATAAATTTACAGTCATTTTAAATATTTCTCATAATTATATTCTTATTAATATTTAAGATATTTTTATATAAAGTTTATATTATAAACCAATACTGCATTGCTCAATAAGTGACGTCAATATGTTCTAGTAATTTGTTTATAACTTCAATGTTTGCATCACTCAGTTATTCTGTTTCTATAGTACAGAATCTGTGCAAACATTGAGGTTCAAAACTATAGCAGTATGTAGCATCTTAGCCAATATTAGCCATATTACAACATTTGTAATCTCATTTTCAAAACTCATACACAAATATAATTATTTTATAAATGGGTTGGAAATTATTTAAGGGGCAATACTTTTTATAAATACTTTGACTAATATAAGTGAGACAACAAATCCAATGAATAATTTCATATTTTGAGTAAAAATCTAAAAGGTCATAACTATCAAATCTTTTGTATGATATACTGTACTGTATGTGTAAGCAATTAAAATGTTAAGACCTTTTGGATTTTTACTACAAATGTGAAATTATTTATTGGATTTTTTCATCATATTTATATTTTATATTTAAAAATATTTTTACAAAATGTGACACAAAATTATTCATTAAATGCTATGATTATTGTGAACTGTTTTTTTATGTCAGGTGGCCCAGGTACTTACAATCAATTACAGGTGATCTACTCTGAACTATAGTAAAAATATGATACATAAATGTGACACAAAATTATTCATTAAATGCTATGATTATTGTGAACTGTTTTTTTATGTCAGGTGGCCCAGGTACTTACAATCAATTACAGGTGATCTACTCTGAACTATAGTAAAAATATGATACAATATGATTCTTGTGCTAACATTAATTGGAAATAAAAATTTTATAACCTACAATAAACCTTAATAATATCAAGATTGTACTAAAAATGTAGACATTTGTATCGCAATTAAATCATAACTATCTGTGAAATACCTTTTGTGGCAAATCATAGTCCCATTCGTGAGGAAAGGGAAGAATACCGGCGTCTCTGATGCCATCACTCCAGACGTCGTGTCTCACGATTCTGTTGCTCTTATTCTGACGCCTTCTCCACAATAATCCCAACAATTCATTCAAATACCGAAACCATTGGCCATTGATTTCACGGTTCACTCTATACACCGATTTCACCAAACGTGTCATTCCTAGTATTATGGGAATCGCTATTATGGATCCCATTATAGCTATTAACAGTTATTCACACTTTTAATAAGATTAAGATATATTTCTTATATATCGGCTAAAATTTCACTAAAATATAAATAAATGAAAATAAAATCTTCGAAAGTAAAACAATAGTTGATTGATGTTATGAATAGTGTGTGTAATTACTGACTGAATCTGTATTTATATGATTTTGTCCTTCAATTATCAGTTCTCTCGCAAACTGATAGCAAGATTCAAGTTTTCAAAAGATTATTAGCAGCCGGCCTTCACTGCTATATTCAACTATTTTAGTGCAAAAGGGACTGAATGCACCAGAATCAATTCTCCACTGAATGCACCAGAATCAATTCACGACTGAATGCACTAAATTATTGACTTTATTAATGTTTACAACCTTATGTTTAAATAGTATGCTACATTCGCACTCTAATTGCAATTGAAATCAAATAAGTTTATTCAACATAAAGTGTTATGAAATGATGAAATTAAACCATTTATTGGGCTATTAGTGACACGAATTTGTTTGATAAGAAACCAGTACAGTATTACATATTTACTCATAGTTAGACATTCATAGATTATTAGAATATAAGAATTGTAAACTCAATGTACTTTAGCTTTCATTCAATTATACTTATCACCGAAATTTTGATAAATATTAATATATAACTGTTTAATATTAATATTAATTTTATTTAGACACTGATATTCTTTAAATTAATGTTTCATATGTTATAAAGACACGTTAATTAAAGGTTTATGAGTTTATAAACAAATTCTCACATTTACCCTGATCAATGCTCATATGATGAGCTTATTTGACATGTTTTCAGTTCAAATCACATCCTTTTTATTGTTAATTTCTTTTCAATACGACTACAGTATTAATCAATTAATTTAATAATTTTTCAATTAATAAAATAAATTTCCTTATAATCAATTATAGAGTTAGACTGAATATTTAACCATTTATTATATAAGAGTTTAATTTTCATTACAAAATACATTATATTCTGGACTAAAAATATTAATTTATGAAAATATTTCTTTAGAATAATTGCAAACAAATTAAATCATATGTAATATCCAAACAAGTGTATAGTTTACGTTATTCTCTAGATTAAAATCATAACTAACTTTAAAATCATCAAAACAATATTTTTGGGATAATGTAGTTAAAAATTAATATAAAAAATGACTTATATTTCATTCGATGGTTTATCTAATGAATGGATTAAGTGATGTATACCTCATCGATAAGTTTTGGTAGCAAATCAAACACAGGTCTGAGAAAATTTTTCGTTAATTTAAGCTCTGGATTAGATTCGATGAGTTCGTAATCAATGTAAGGACCGGACGGACGGGCGTTACATAACACCACAAATCGACAGCTGATCGACATTTGGGGCAACAATTTGTCGCTAAATGTGGTGATTATCTCGTTTGTAATGACCTCCTCTTTGTTGGACCGGTTGAGGGCGATATGACTGAGTTGACGGCGAATGTGGTCTCTATTATTGTTATCAATTACATGGATGTCAATGGCCTTCAAATCCATACAAAACTCAGCAAATGGTGAATAAGAGCCGAAAATAATATCATATTTAGCCACCAGTTGTGCCTTTAATTTATAAACAGTGTCTAATAAAACGATAGTCAAATCGCAGACTTGATTGGCAAACGATTTGATAATCTCTTGAGATGTAATGTCCGCCAATTCAACACAAGTTCTCGGGTTTGGAAGACAAACAAAGTGTCCGGCAATAGATTGGAAGGAGCCGTCTGTCGGATCAAATTCGGTGATAATCTGTGAGATACCAAACATATCGCTATCGGACTTATTTCGGGCGAATATAGAGTCAGCTTTCGATGCAATGGCTTTGATATAAGTCAAGAATTTATCGAAAACAGCGAAATTGAGATTTGCGGTCAAATTGTGCTCCAAATTAAACGGGTCTTCAATACAGCAAAAGGACGTCATCTTAAAGTGGAGGACATCCGACCGCTTTGTATTCAAAGTGGTCTCAATTACTTCATTGAAGGCTTGTTTGTGAACCGCTTTTCCAGACTTCAGTTGAATGACATGAGTCGTGAAATTGAATTCCGAATAGAATTTGAAGAATTTTGGCAACAAATCAATGACTGATTCTGTGTTCTGTGATCTGACAATCAGATTCTTGTTGTCACAGAAACCACATTCCCAGCCGTCGATCACAATTGATTGACTCATTGGTTCCCTTAACTGATCCACTGTTGGAAGCATAGGTGGACTCAAGTTCTGGCAGAAGAATATCACTAACTGTGTCAACGCATAACTGGTGAACGCGTTATCACTGCCGCCAATGAATCCGTTATTCTTCGCCCAATATCTCAGAATAATAGCCAAGTCTTGGAAACGGGAGTCGAGTTCGCAGTAAAAACTAATAAGTTTTGTGTTTTGAAGGCCTAAACCGTTGGACAGATTAATATCACATCCAATTCCGAGCGCTTCCAGCGAGTGATACAACCGCGGATTGTTCCTAAACTTCTCTCCATAGAACTTGAAGTCTATTTTAATGATCGGACACCGAATGCTCGGGACGGGCGCCGGGATGAAGAACTTGAGACTATCTCTGAATATGTTTTTAATGACTGTTAAGTAACTCATGTATGTGTTGTAGTCGTATTTCACGAATATATTATCCAATCCTTTGATGTCAATAAACAAATCGATGTCTGAATTGCGAAAACCAACGGAATTGGCGGTCGAACCGAAGAAATGGAAAACACATTGAATGCCACTATTGTTCACAATTTCTTCAAAAATGTCTTTCAGTCGGAGTCTCTTCACAATGTCTTCGCGAGACAGTAAGACATGTCTTCGAAAAACATTGATTTGGTCCTCAATTGTGGAACAGTTGAGTATATCGCCAGTTAAAGCCCTAAAAATGTTGAGAATCTTATTAAAAACACAACCAAACAAAATATCTTATAAAATGTGAATACTTGTCATCAATAGATCCAGTCTTTAAGAGTTGAATAAAGTTAGGGTCACGAGATAACTGGGCGTAATAGAGAGCCTCCCGTTGAGTTAATCTTTTGTAATTTATTGGTATTTTAACAAAATATGATTTTTCTCTTCGATTATAACCCTTTTGAGTGTTATTTTGAGAGTTATTTTGCAAACTATTGGTCGGCTCTGCAGTCGACTTATCTTTGTCTTTGTCTTCAGGTTTGCTTTCTTTGTCCGTTTGGTTCGCATTTAAAGACATGGCTTTTGGCGAAGATTTCTTGGCATCAAATCCTAACTTATGTTTCAAACACCCAATTAATTGACTGGTCATTGAGTCCACAAACAAACTCAAGTCAATTGAATGCAAATCTTCAAAGTATAGCAATTGGTTTCGCGCGGCTTTCGATGATTTGGCACTCTTTAAGACATCCAAATACTTGTCAATCATTTGACTAAATCTCTCTTTGCATTGGTTTGCATTCATTTCTTGAAATTTGAATTCATTAACCATTTTATTTGCCAACTGTTCCCAGAAAAGGGTCGGCTCTGAACCGATTAGCGCTTTGTCCTCATCGGTCAGACATTTCATTTGATTGGCTAAAGTCGTCATAAACGAGACTCTGGCTAATGTAGACAAAGAGCTCGGGGATTGACCCGTCTTTTCATTGTTTTCTGGCAATTGTTTCACTTCTTTTGGCAAATGTTCAACAATTTCTTTGTGTTTTGTATCCAATTGTTGTTTTACAGGAATTTTGTTGACATTATTAGTCGAGACATTGGGACTTGAGTTGACTTTTCTATTAAAAACCCGTATATTATTATTCGCCGATTCGTTGGGCTTTAAAACTTTTGGTTCATTTTTGGTTTGTTTCACTTGAGTTTGTTTCCCATTAATAGCGCCTTTATTTACAGTGACTTTAGTTATGTGTTTCCGACAGTTCAACACCTTTTTCAAAGTCTTTTGATCGTAAAATAGAGTCAAATCGGATTCATTCAACTCATGGAAAGGCATTTCATAGACTTGTCGTACATTTCCTTCTAAATTCTTTAGCGATCGTTTGACACCAATATATCTATCGATGAGTTGATTGAATAGACTTTTGCAGATGTTTTCATTGAAACACTCCTTAAACCCCAAACTTTGCATTTGTTGCCAAACAAACGTCCAATCGGTGACTGAATCAGTGGTCGACGTCTGAACACATTGAATGAGTGCATGAGATTTCTTCTCGTTTGCATTCTTGTAAGCCTTTGTCTTAATACTTAAGACATCATTCATATCAAGTAATTGTCTGTCATTTCTATTCGTGACAAACGGTTTCAAATCCATGCAATT